GTTAAATTTAATTTTAAAAATAAATAAATAATTTAATTTAATCTTAATTGTATACAAGTATAATTACTTTTTTTTATAAAAAAATATAATTATTTTCTTATAATCAACTAATTATAAATTATTGTAAGTATGATCTTTAAGATAATAATTATAAAATTTAATAAACTCCTGATATAAATTTGCTTTACATTATTGATCTATCAGCTATATTTAATAAAAACAAAAAGAATGTTTTTAATAAATAATTTTAAAAATTTTCTTAATTTTTGTTTTTCCAATCGATATAACAAAATCGGATACACAACAGAACACAGGATAACACCTCGGGTTGCATCGACCGTCCGATCATTAATGTATGATATCACAGCGATCATTCATTCATTCGTGCATGTCAATCAGTATATCTCCTTCCTAAATTCAACGTCTCCGTTCCGTTCTCTTTCTTCATCCTCCAAACCCTAATCAACTTCTTCACTTCCCTCTGATTCCACTTTCGGTAATACAAGCTCCTCTCCTCAGATCTGAAACTACTTCTTTCAACCTTTTCTCTCCTCATTTTGAATTTTTTTTTACGTCTCATTTCCGTATTCGACGACTCCTTTCCTGAATTCCAATCTACGCTATATTGTTCGGTTTTTAACGTTTTATTTATTTATTTATGGTTTACTTAGTTAGAAATTGGAAATCACGATGCTCAATTGACGGAAATCATTATCGTGAAATGCTTTTATCTAGATGTTTACTTAGGGACATGACTGAATCGTTGAATAGTGTTTCCATGGGTATCCGGGCTAGTTTTTTTCTCGTGCTTTTTTTTTTTTTTTTTTGTGCAAGTGAAGTGCCAGAAATCTATTATTGCAAATGCGTGCGGATTTGATTTTCGCCACTACTGTTTCCAGTGGAAGGGGAGGCGAGGGGATAGGCATTTCAGAATTTGCGAAGATATGGCATGTGATATTGCTGTTATATTTTTTCATCTTCTAAATCTTACAACCCCTCGTCCTCAAATCATTCTAAAATTTAAACTGAGGATGTGATATATATTGTGAATTTGTGATATAATAACTTGGTAATGGTTGACCTGCTTTAATATTTTAATGAGTTACTACATTTTCCTCTGGGTATCTGAAAGAATTTTGTGTAGTTATAGATAACATACGACTGCCAGCTGAAATGAATAACAAATTCAAAGATAAAAGAAACTGTGAATGTTTCTCAAATAATTAGAGATGTTTTAGTCACATTTACACATGTATATAGCAGTAGTATGTATATGTAAACATATTTTTTTTCTTCCGCCTAATAATATACTGTTAGGAGTGATCTTATTGTTGAGTTTACAAAGAATGATTAAATCAATAGGCAAAATATAAAGAAGAAACATTATATGTATTTTTTGTCTTGTGTTCTATTGACATTATGTCTGTATCTGCAGCTTCAACCAGAAGATACTGTTTGGTCAGGGCGACCTAATGCTAAGGCTTCCAATTTCTACATAAGTTGCCATTGATACTTTTTTAATCAAATGGATTCAGTGCCTGCTGATGTATCTAATTCACATCCTATTAAAGATCCACCCACTTCACCTCCTGCTAAGGAGATTGATGAACAAGCTTCTGCTTCTGTAGTCTCTGGGCAAGATAATTCTGCACATGATGCATCATCTAGGCTATCTCCGACTGGCATATCGTCTTGGGCCAAATTGAAAATTTCTCAGCCATTTACTGGCTCCCAAGATGACTCGTCAAGTGGGAATGCTGGGAAATCAACTTTTGCACGCATCACTAGTAATTTGGGGTTGAGGTTGTCCCCAAAATCTCCTGTGGCAGATGACAGTTCCAATGAAACAGCTGTACAATCTAATTTGTTTGGAACTATCACGAAAGGCCTGGTTGACTCTTCTAAGAATGCAGTGAAAGCTGTGCAGGTTAAAGCACGCCATGTTGTTTCACAGAATAAACGCAGATACCAGGTGTTATTCTTGTTCAAACTAATATACTTTGTATATATTATTGTAAAGCTGAGTTTCTCAAAGTATTTGCTCATTTAAAATTTTTATTGTTTCTTCTATTGGGTTCATTGCTTTAATCCCTTAATAATTGGGTGAAGCTCATCTTTGGGAGCCTATTCAATGATAAATAAAAATTAAAAAAACCCTTAAAAATTCTAATGTCAAAAAAAATTATTCAAAATATTTTTTAAAAAAAATATGTTTAATATATAGAAATCAATTAATATGTTGATTATATTTTGAGAAAATATTTACTTTAAGTATATTTATAACCCCTAAAAAAATATTAGTTATTATTTGTAATAATAGATATGATTTCATATTAATATAATGATTAAAAATATAATTTTTATATTCAATAATTTTATATTAAATGTGAATTTTATAAATTCAACTACTAGATTGAAATTTTTTTACTCTAGATCATATGTACAAATTTTTTTATTAATCCATAATTATTTGATATTTCATTCTTATAAAATAAATTTGACATAATATATATATATATATATATATATATATTTTAAAATATAATAAAATATAAATATTTTGATTATCATCAAGTTGTTGTTTAATTTTAACAAAATTTAATATAAACATATAAAATGATATGAAATTATAATTCAATAGTTATATTTAAAAAATTCGCATTTAATATAAAATTATTAAGTAGTATAATACTTAGTAAAAATTATACCAATTTCATTTAAACCCTTCTTATATATATATGTGTATTATAGCGTAAAAATTAGAAAAAAATTGGAGTTTGCGATCACACTTAACGCAATGCAAATCATTCGGATATAATAATATTGATGTCTTAATATTAGTGATCCTAAAATAATAATAATAATAAAAATAATCATTGTGTCATCTAAAAATTCTTATAATTAATTATCTTATATTTCTTTTATTATAAATATTTTATTTGAGTAATATTTATTATTATCTGATAAAGCTCTTTTCTTGAGTTCATATTTAACATTTGTATCGGATCAATCTTATAAATTACTAAAAATAAAAGAGTACTGTATTATTTAAAGTAGTGATACTAACTTTGTCAGAAATGATAAAGTATAACCCAAAAATGTGGAATAAAAAAGAAGACAGATGTTTTCTATTTTTTATTTTTTTGGTTTTGTATATTTCTCGAATTGGAATGTTGCATATTAGAAAAATAATGTAGTTGTAGTGGTGTTTAAAAAAGAAAATAATCCTTTTACATTATTTTTTCACATTTGATTTAGAAATATATTGTCGAAATCAGTTATGACTACAACTAATATGGAAAAAGAACTTTCAGGATCGGTCGTGGACACAAACAATATAAAAGATTATGTAGATAATTATTTATAACTTATGTAGAAAGTAACAAATATGAAATTTTAAAATTGATAAAAAAAAAACCCCTTTTATATTAGCTTATTCTGCATGCGCATGTGAAACTGATTTATAATGTTGAAAACAACTGATGTTAAAAGCCTTTTTTTGGTATTAGTGAGAGATACATACATATGGGAGTTGAGGCAAATAGAAGATGTTAGTCTTTTACAATATAATGAATTACAGTTTGAATCTACGTTGAGTGAGATGTTTAAATTTAGTATTTGAATGTGTCTCCAATAAGATTGTTTTGAAAGGAAGGTATTAGTGAAAAACAAGGAAAAAATTCGTGTATAATTTCTTAAAGAAAAACTATAATAAAATTATAAGTAATTAAAAGATAAGTTTCAATAATATGTGAATAGATTAATTCAAAAATAACATTTCTTGAAAAACTATTATTTACACAATTTATTAAAGGTGTGAATGCTAAAAATATTAATAAAATTAATATAAATATATAAAATATAAATATATATATAGAGAGACATTTTTAACAATAAAATGTAATATGATTGATAGATACTCTTATCATTTAAACATATAATTAAATGTTTGACCCCTGATTGATGTGAAAAGATTAACTTCTTAAATAGATTTAAATAATTCAAAAGATTAGTCCTTATATATTCAAGCTTTATTATTATTTTTTTTATATTTAAATTCTCTCTTCATTCAAATATATAAACATATTATTATACCCTTTTCTATTATTCCTTTTGTTTTCCCTCATGCATAAAAAAAAATTGTGTGATAATTTGCTAGCTGTAGTTGTGGGTAGAGATTTTACCAACTCAATATAGAGAATTAAACCGAGTTGTGGCTTGCACATAGGCAGAGCTGTAAAATATTTAACTGAACTTTTCTTTTCTTTAGAATATTAATGACTGAGAAGTGGATGGTAATATATATTAATTTTGAAAGCATGAATTCTAACATTGACCAGCTAGCTGTCATTAGGTTCAAGAGTAGGCATCTAGTAACCACACCAACACATATTCTAGCCCACATTTTTTAATGTGGATTTCTGGGCTTGCTTGCTGATTCTCAATATACAAGTAAAGCAACGTCTTTCCTCATTTACTGCATAAGGGTCGATCAATAGTGAATATATGAGAAAATTATAAAAGGACACAAAAGTGACCACTGAGTATAGGCTTATTTTACAAAAGAAAAAAAAAAAAAAAGATGTACCTTTCATTATCAATTACCAGCTAATGGAGGTTGACACTTTGGAAGGGGACTAGGTCAAAATATTGATGGGCCCAAAGCTGTTGAGAAGCCTAATATGAGCAATTGCATAGTTATGGCACATATGAGCTGGATTTGAACTGGGATGCAATTAGACATGTCCACAACAGGGTGAAGAAGACAATTATGATGCACAGCATATTGGGAAGTTCCACTTTGGGCAGGTTCCATGTTTACTCCTACATTGCTTGTATTGTTGCACAATGCACTGCAACAAGGGATAACTTGCACATTTTTATAAAAGCCTTTTTCCCTCCTTATTTTGCAATTTGCATCATTATTATTGCCCTTCATGTGCTCTCTCTACAAAACCTTTGCAAATTGCGTATACTAATTCTAGTGCTATTTGCATTATTTACGGCCCCTTATTTTGGCTTTAGAGCCTCCTATCTAATATCTATGGTTGCTCCCTACTGTTTCAATAAATAAAAACACAAGCCTCACCAATACTAGGAAGCTTCGTTAATTCTACTTTCGATGTCGGAACAGACAATTTCAGTTTGGTTGATTAATATTATTTTTAACCAAACATTGACCATTTGGTTCTCGTATGCAAATTGATGACTGGTAGGGTGCTCTCTATTACTCACTCCATTTTTCTGTTCATAAAAATATATAAAATAATCAAACTTAAGATCTAAGCATATGATGCAGCACACGGGTAGAGCACCAAACACACCACTCGAGATCAAGTTTCCATTTCATATACTCGATCTTATCTTCATTCATACAAACATATCAATAATTGAATTAATAGAATTGATTAAATATTATTATTATTATTTTAACAAAATTATACCTTATTTAATAATTTCATTGTAAATATTCAAATATTGCTTTAATAATTATATTGAAACTCAAACAAAATTCTATTTTTTTTACTAAATAACACAATATTTTCTACATGAATTGGAATGAGATAAAATTATTATAAAGGACAAATTTCTCTTTTTTAAATTATTCAATACCTAAAGCTCAAACCTAATACTATATATCAATTAAATCGAAATAACTGCATATGCAAAGCCCCAATGAATAATGATATGACATTTCTATTCTATCTATTTCATAAATAATTAAATCATACAGATTAGACTATGACTGCCTCCATATCTTTTCTTTCGCTATTTAAATGGTGTCCAAACCAATTACAATGAGTACGTCGTTCGTGGTACACTAGTACTGCTTTTATTTGACCATCATCACGTGAATAACAGGTAAGATTAAGAATCAGTGAATCACTGTCCATATTATGGACGAAATAACAGGTAATATATATAAGTAGAGAAAAATCGTAAACTTACAAATCAATTTTGTAAAATTAGGTTAATTATACTCTTATTTCACTTAACTTACATGTCTTGATTAACAATTTGGTGCACACAATAATATTTAATTTACTCATTATTTCTTTTAAAAAAATAACTTTTTTTCTTCTGTAATAATAAACTTGTCAAAGAAATTATCTAAGCTTGATGTGGAGAGGAAAATACTTTTTGTTTAAATAAAGATAATTTTTTAATTATCAAGCGTATTAACATTAATTTTTGCTTATTATCAAAATAAACTTTTAGGACATATTAAAGGAGGAAATAAAGAAAGGAAATCCATTTTGGCATAAAAGAATTTCAAAATTAACTGTTATAAATTATCTGTCAGAAGGAAAAAATACAGGAGTGGGATTTAGATAGAACTCATTGAAGTGCATGTGCACGTGCACACGTGTGTTTGAATAGTATTTGTAAGTGGAACTTCGCATATATATATATATATAGGGAATTCTAATGTACTCCCACCTACTTTTTAGTGGGAGTATGTTAGCAACCTACACCAATTTTTTAGGATAAAAAAATTATTCATTTATTTTGATTTGGTTAATTCGTACAAAGGATATTATAGTAATTTAATTTAATTTTAAATGAAAACAAAATATTTTCTCTCTCTTATTAATTTTATTCTCTAAATCATTTCTCTCTCTTATTAAATTTTTTCTCCAACTCATTTCTCTTTCTTATTAAATTCTTTCTCTAACTTATTTATCTCTCTCCTATTAAATTCTTTCTTTAACTCATTTTTCTTTCATCTCTCATGATGTCTCCCTCCTCTCTCTCTGAACAAATAAAAATTTATTAATAGAAAAAATAAATGAATTGAAGAATGAAATTAATAAGAGAGAGAAAATATTTTTATTTTCATTTAAAATTAAATTAAATTACTATAATATCCTTTGTACGAATTAACCAAATCAAAATAAATGAGTGATTTTTTTGTCCTAAAAAATTGGTGTAGGTTGCTAACATATTCCCACTAAAAAATAGGTGGGAATACATTAGCATACCCCTATATATATATATATATATATATATATGTATACCATTCACACGGATTTAGATGTTTCAAAATATTTTTTAAATAAAAAAGTACGAAGCTATTTTAAAAAGGTAAAAAAAATTATATTTAAGAACTTTGTATTTTATTATAAATATCTAAATATTTTATAATAATATAGTTATAACTTTGAGCTTCTGCTTTTGAGTACATACTTTCTTAGCCGAACTCTATGCACACTTCCCACATGCTTATGCAAATCCTGGCAGTGTAAACTGTTTGGAAAAGGAGAGAAGAATTGTGAATGTGATTGCATGTGGATACATAAAATCCCAGTCAACTGCACTATGCCCCAAAAGATTATTACAGTCTCTTCTCCACTGATGTATGCTGCTTACTTTTCTAATTGTATTAATTAAATGTTAAATATTAAATATTAAAAATCATATTTAATATTATAAATATTTTTATATTTCTTTTTATAATATATCTCTTAAAATATTCTATCTCAAAATTAAAGAAATAAAAAATATATTAATTAAATTACATATTTTATTTAAAATACTACATAAAAAAATACTAAGCCATTGCAACATGCAATTAATCTGCATAAAATGGTGGTACAATTCTTGTTTACCTTGTTATTGTTTTGTAACTTGTTTGAAAAAAAAATTATGGATTAAAAAATCACATTCAAAATGTGCAAGTTATAAGTCTCTAATTATTTGAAAAATTTTAACTAGATTTTTAAAATTTTAGAAATTGTAATGGATTGTTTAATCTTGTAATTCAATTTTTAAAATAGTCACAAATTATCATTTTTTAATCGGTTTAAAATTGTCATAAACTAACTATAGAAATATAATTATACAAATTTAATTATAATATGAATGACTTAAATTACAATTTTTTTAACTGAAAATTACAATTTCTTTTAAGAACCATTAAAAATTCCTGAAAGACTTAATAATTAATTTAACCTTCCTAAAATCACACCCTAATCAAACACACCGTTAGTCAACCAACTTATGGGTGCATAAAAAAAAATTAAGAACAAGAATATTTGGGCACCTTTTATTTTACAAACAATCCATCAACATTTATTAAGTTATATATATATATATATATATATATATTTATCTTTGTTGCATAGGTGTTAAATAAGTTGTTGGTGTCCAAGAAATCATTTTTGTAAAGGAAAGTATCTACTGTCTATGCTCATAATTAATGGCATACTTTTTTTCCCATTCGACTAACGAATAAAATCCATTCTTGGAGAATCACTCTTCTCCTATAATGAAACAACACCCTTTACTAACTAACCATCGTAAATTGGTGATTTCTTCCTCTAAATTGGGATAATAACAGTGGTGATAGATAGACAGATAGAGAAAGTGAGTGATAGTATTAGTAGTGGTGGTGATTGCTGAAGTAAGGGATAGGTGTCCATACAGTACTGCACAGAGGAAATAGACGTGCACCCTGTTTTGTTAAGAGGGTACACAGTGCTTCGCTGTCTACCATGTGATGTGTGTATCTCTCTCTCTCTTATATGTATGCACTGTGCACCCACCCAACTGGCACTTATTCATTGGCATAAGAGTGAGGACAAAACTAGTCTAGGATTTGAGTCTCATTCTCTTTGGTTATTTCCACTCTATACAACTTAGTCAGTGGTCATTGCGCCCTAAAACCAAAACTACATTGCCATACCCTTAATACCCTCTAGTTCACAATTTGTTCCATCCTTTTACCACCGTTACTCTTTCATCATAAATTGGACACTCCTATATTTTCTTGTTTACTAGTACAATCTAGAAAGAAAAAAAAAGATAGGAAGATGAATACATTTGGTTCAGAATGCAGTAGTGGGTGTGAGTCTGGTTGGACTCTTTACCTGGAGCGCTCTTTCCTCAACCAGAATGCTTCTTCACATAGAGGTGCCACTGAGGAGGAACACAAAGACAAAAGGTTCAAACATGAGGACTCAGGGGAGGAGGATTTGTCCATGCTTTCTGATGCTTCTTCTGGACCTCCGCATTTCCCACACTATGAGGCTTACTTCAATGAAGAGGTCAATGGTAGCTTTTATTCAGCTTCCAAGGCAGTGAAGCTGGCCAAGAATGGTACAAAGAAGCAGAAAGTTAAAGAAAATCAACATCTTCCTTCTATTCTTCATGACACTGCTAGCTCTCCTTTTTTTGACTTTTCAACTGTAAGTTTGAGCTTGCATGCTATTCCATTTTATTTTTTTTAGTATTTTACTAAAAATGATGCAATGTGTTTGTTACTCATGGTTCTTGATAAATTTTCAGAACAATATTACTGGGGGCAAGCAACAAACTTCCACAGGGAGTGTGCTAGATTATTCACAAGGCTTCTCTGCAACTTATTTTGAGGTACCTGGCTTGATTCTCTTCTTTTGATTTCACTATTTTACACTTGTTTAGAAGAGACATGTGGCTAGCTAGAACTATTTGTATTCTAGCAGGGAGGATCCTCATTCCAAGAACAACACTTTGGTTTCTTACAATCAGAAAATGAGCTTGAAGGCAACAAGTAAGTTTCTTCTTGTATATACGCACTGGAAGAAAACAGAATTCTAAATTTTGGCAGTGATTGATCTTATTTGTATGCATATTTTTGTTTAGCAGATGGTATGGAGGGAAAGGGATGGGAATAAGGTAAAGATATATCAGTTCTGCTGATGGATGAAGAAGCATGTCATGGTGTAGAAGTAATTTGGTATTGATAGGGACCTTGTACCTTTATCTACTTTTCTCTTGTAGCTGTTGATGCAGTGGGAAACAACCTGAAAAGACAAGTTAGATTTTTTCATTTTTTTCTCTTTTGCTTTAGAAATTTGTTTTTCTTATGAATGAATTAATGATTACAAGGTGATCAGTTAGCTAGGCATGCTCTGTGTGTGTTTAAGCATGCTCCCCTCTTGTTTTTCATCTCAATATAAATGCAGTACACTACTGACAACTCTCGCAAACTTAAATAAATAAATATAAATGCAGTACTAAATAAATAAATAAATGTTTTATTGCTATTCCATCGCTTTAAAAATGAAATATAACTTTTCCAAATTTTTCCATTGTACTTTAAAATTCATGCCCGTAACCAAAGTCATTAATACAAGTGTTTTTACATGTGTATTTCTTAATTAAAGGCCGAAATTCAATTCCAAATTTGAGTATTGAGTTGTGACTTTAGAAATACTTTTTTTTTTAATTGAACCAAGAGAGAAAATTATACCTTCTAATTATATATATATATATATATATAATATGTATAAGTAACTACATTTTTTGAATGCAAAATTTCTTTTTACCAATAATTGCAGTCCAGGTTTCACAATCCCAGAGGTACGTTCCAAGGAGATACCGATGCTTCCAACTGATCAATCCTAGAAAAATTTCATTATAGTTATACTGTTATTTGCTGTAATTCTCACATATAATATCAAATTGATAATACCCATGCACAAGGGGTGGTATACGGTGAGTCTAGCAGTGTGTTTGGATAATACCCAAAAATTAATTCTACTTTCAGAATAATGAAAAATAGAAACAATTAGTTTTTCCTTTGTCTTCACTATATAAAAAAAATATCGATTCTTTTTTCATCATAAAATAATTCCAAACATAAAATAATTCTTCCATGATACCTTTTCGTACATGCTTCAATTCAAAATCTTATTTGACGGAAATTAAGTATCTATCGTTTCAAGTTTTCATTAATGTACAAACAAGAGCCGCTATGTAAGGTGAACAAAGAGTTATTAATCTTTAATTTAACTTGATTAATTTTTTTAAAAAAAAATCCTGATTCAACAGTAAACACATTTATTTTTCAAAAAAAGAAAACTTTAATTTTTGTTAAGCACGAAAGAAGTCAGGAATAAACTAATTTATTCATAAAGTTATTTTTTTGGTACGTTCAACGATTTGTTATTCTTTTCAGTAATGTAACAAAATTAATGGCTGCCTACGTAAGATATGGATGCTCGATTCTAAGATAATTCAGAATTTCAGATAAAGGCTACGTATACGTGATCCTTTTGTGAGTTAGGTAGGATCACATTTCACTTGCATTCGATTATGTAGAATCTTTATGTTATTAGTTATTGTAGCCATGATTATAAAATAAGGGAAAAAGGTTTGAATAGTTAAAAGGGGCAGGGCCTTTAAAAGTGTTGGGGGGAGTGAAGACAAGGGTCCAATTATTTTTGTGAGTTAAAGTGTTTTCAAAATGAAGGCTTAATCTGCTTCTAGAAAGAAGAAAGATGGAATTTGTGAGGAATGGGTAATGTAGTAAGATGAGGAGGAAATGTGAAAGTTGATGTTGGAATATTTCATATGTATCTCTTTTAAGGTCTGGAGATCCTGCCTGTGATCTTCCTGACCCAAAGGAACATGCCCCATTTTGCTTCGTTTGTCAACTTTATCTCTTTACTCTTTTGGAAGGATCCTCTTTTAAAATATGATATTTGATGTTCATTTATGTGGCTTTGTTCCCTCCAACTCGGTCTGCTTGGAAGCTGTCATAGGACTTTATGTCATCCACAATTCATTTTTTTATTCCTTTACTTATTCCTAGTCACTTCCTATTAAAATAAAGAGAAAAATCCGGTATGAGTTGAAAAGAAGGGCATATTGAGAATTTAGGATGACAAAAATTGTAATCTCAGCCAGCCCACATGTTGAAGTTTGCAATGGTAGCCTTGGTAATGAATGAAAAAGTACTAAATAATTGAAAAGGTTAACCTGCAGATGAATCAAACAAATAAAGTTCTAGAGAGAAAAAATAATTTAAAAGTGATGATAGTGAGTGACCAGCTGCACAGCATTCCATCCAAATAGATAAGAATGTAGAAGGGTGCTTTGTTGCTTCCAACACAAGTTTATTGTCTCATCTTTAAATTATGTGACCATTGCCAATTTTGTTTGGATGTTTCCATTTCTCGGGACAACTTCTGCGTTCATGCGGGTTGCAAGCTCTGTCCCAAGGACATGAAGAAATTATTGCATCGATTGAAATTATGGTTCTGATCAATCTTCATATGCCATGCAGTCAAAAAATTAATAAAACTTGTCTTTATGTCAATTGATTGTAACTATGAGGCATGAGCATGTAATAGTCCCGGACATAATAGAATAATTTCTCCAAGTACTTGAATTTGTTACACACTATGATGACTGGCAATGAGTAATTAACTCTTGCGTCACTGCAAAATTCAACGCCATGGTTGGAACTTGGGACTAAAGTGTTTACTTTTTAACGAAGACAGTACAGGTAAAATGCAATTTCACTTGAGACTTCAGACGGTAAAATGTAATAACTTTTTCCCCGTGGAAAAGCAACATTGAAAAAAGTTTACCCGGCAGAATAATTCTTCCTTCACCCTTATCAAAACCTACACTTCAAATCCCAGAGGAATTTTATTTTCTTTCAAAGTATAGACTCTTATTGTTGAATCTCGTACTAAATTTATACTGTTCTATCTTGGACTTCACATGTGGGATACTAGACTCTGATTATGGACAAGATTTAAAAAACTAACTTGTACCATTGGATAACAGGCGTGACTGACTGATCATGAATTTTGATCGTTCATATTGTTGATACAAACTGCTTGAGATTAGACTTAAAATATCTTCTTGAGGACCCTTGATAAAGGAAATTCAACCTTAAAGCAAGACTTAAAATGGGGTCTTCCAGACAGATCCAAAGTCATGGGCAGGTTACATAATGCGCTGGTGGCTATAGTCACGCAGTTTCAATCACCGCAACGTTACTGTAGAAGTTCTCACATTATTTATTTTTGAATTTCCTTAGATTTGAGAGCTAAGATTGATCATTAAATTTGGCTTTCAATGACCAATTGTGAGCAAAGAATGCATGTGATGTGGTGATTGGTGAACCTAAAAGTAACATTTGACCACACTACCAAAACTATTCGGTTGTTTAGTCACATAGATCTTTCGTATTTTTGAGGGGTGACTTTCAGGCCTTATCCTGCCAATAATATTTTCATGTCCTTTGAACAAGTCATGGCAGTGCATTGAAGTGATTTTCTTATTATGCAACAAACCATTGCCCTCACCTATTCGGTATCTATCAAATTTCGGTGACGCATCTTGCAAGAAAGAAACTGCCACCATATCCAAATATCCCAAGAGAGAAAGAAAGAAGAAACCCCAGGCTGGAATTATTGGAGCCATTGAAGAGTGTGATGTCAGTCAATGTCAGAAAGAGAGAGATACTTAGTATTAACTTATTGTGGTCAACATACTATTGAAGAATGTGATGCCAACCAATGTCAAATTAAATTCATTAATTCAATCACTTGAAATGGTTGTACTCGGAGGATTTGAAGAAGACAGGAAATCACAATCTACAGGACTTCGTGCCTATGTGAATCTCTAATGTACAATTCCATTGGTGGTGGAGCTACAGTGTACAAAAGCAAATTCAATGCGATCTAAGCACCGAGTGAAACGTAAACAACTAAGAAAAACTTTCACTTGTTTTTTTGAAGCCAATCAAGGATACCCTTTTCTGTATCTGAAAGTTGCCCATCCTCCTTTCTCTTCAACGTTCCTTCCATCAATTCAAAGTAATCCTTGTAGTTTCGCTTGTAGTAACTCTCCAGCCTCTGTTACACAACGTGATCATATTAAATACATCATAAACGCACATCTTATGCTCATTCATGCAGACACTAATTAATGACAAATGTTTAGTGGGGTTGACTAGAAAAATTAATCTTTAGTTGGCAAAATATCGATTAATTTAGTGACTCAATACAGTTTCATATTAAAAAAGTTGTTGCATCGTACATCATATATTCACAGCTAGTTACCTCTTTGTCGTTTTTCTCCTTGTTTTCCTCTGATTTCTTCTGATATTCTGATAACAATTTCATTACAATGTTTTCCTTTATGTTAGTAAGAATACTAATTTTATTACTCGAGACAAAAAAAGAAGTGAGGAGAGGGATGTGTACTTTTAAGAAGTTGAGTCCTAGAGTCAGGTACTTGGGTGGTGGCGATTGCAGCGGATAAGAGAAGTCCTCTTCTTGTGGTTAAGGTTGTTGGTGTGGTTTTGTTTGGTGCTTTTCCTTGAACTGCTTGCAAATTAGATGAAGCATACTTGTTTACTGTAACAGTGAGTGCCATCAATATGCTTTGCCCTATTGAACTCATTCGATACTTTTCATCTATCTCTTCTTTCTATCTTGTTTAGTCACCACAACCAAGAGTATCCCCAATGGATAATGAGATGAGGCAGAACATGACATGTGGACTAGCTCTGTAGGGACTAAATAAATTATTTTGCATGTTCTGTTTTGTAAAATTCTTTTTGGTTAAAAGTGAATTTTGATTAAAACAATGACATTTTAATATATTGATAATTTTTTAGTTGTGAAAATGCTGGTAAAGACATGTTAATACCATTAAAGAAATATTATAATATTAAATTATGAAGATATTTTTGTGGTTTAAATATGTTTTTAATCTCTCAAATTTAAGACAAATTTGATTTTGATCCCTTAATTTTAATATTGATATTTTTAATTCTTGTAATTTTTAAAAATTTTGTTTTAGTCCCTCGGGTCACCAATAACATATTTGAATTTGAATAATTAAGATTAAGAATATTATGCAATATCAACCGGATTTAATATAATATTTTTACTAAGAAGGACATTAATAGGTAGATTTTATATAATAATTTTTGATACATTTTTTAACAAAATTTGAATATAAGAATTATAATAAGATTTTTTGAAATTACAGGACTAAAAATAATAATTTTAAATTTAAAAATTAAAAATAAATTTATTCTAAATTTAAAAGACTAAAAACATATTTAAGTCTATTTTTGTGGATACAAATTTAACCGGTTTCTTTCGGTACAAAAACAACAAAATATAACTTTTATCAAAACTGGAATTTGGGTGCGGAAATAATTTACGTTGCGTGATTTATTGAAATTTTTTATTTTTTATATAATATTTTAATATATATGTAAATTAAAATTTTGTAATATAATAATAATTATTTTAAAATATAAAGATATGAAATAAATATATGACAATTGTTATATATTATTTTTTATTGATTATATTACAAATTTATGTTCACACTTCTATATTAAAAAAATTATTAAAAATAAGTATTCACATTATGTACAAAAATAAATATTATGTAAAATTAATTTTGTAAGAGTGAAATTGAGGTGAATGTAGACAAAGTTAAGAATTTATTATTGAAACCAAAAATTGATTACAAAATAACAAACCACTAATAAAGCAAAAATGATATTAAAATGAACATAAATCACTTTTTATATGGATATTTGATAAAAAAAAATTTGGTATTAGGTTGTTGAATTAATTTTTCTTTGGTTTGTTTTTCTTTTAACTTTGAATTATAATTGATATTTCATATGAGGAATTGTTAATAATTTGTATAAATGTCTTTCTCCTTGAATAAGTCTTTTTATTTGATGATGATCCATCTTTTGACTTATTGGATAGTTGCTTATTCGTGCTTACAATGAGTTCTTTTTAATGATTTGTTTGTTTGTTTGTTTATAATATAAAAGTTGAATTACACTATATTACGTTGACACGTCATTCTAAAACTAATTGTATATATCGCTATATCAACATATTTATCTATGTGACAAATTCTCTAATAGTAACTAATTGTATAAGGGGCAAGGCTTAGAAAAAATTGTCATTGAAGTGATCTGACATGACAAGAAAAGTTGAAATTTTTTTAGATCCATTCCTTCTTGAAGCTCCGGTGCTTATGACTGTGAAATTTCAAATGGAGACCTCTCAATGGTTCATTCGGTGCTCGAGACTGTCAAAAAGTGGAAGTGCTTATAAGCAACTCTCAATAGAGCAAAAATTATAAAAATGCAACATGAGTTGCTTGTGATAGTTACTTATAAATAACTTCCGTTGTAGATGTTCTAAGTTTCTATTTTCTATTATAGTTATCTATATGACAAATTGTCTAAGTTTCTATTTTCTATCATATTTTCCCTTTACCTTCTATATATTATATCTCTCCACATTCCATTTAATTTAACTCTCATTTTTCTATTGTCTAATTTTTATTCCACTACAATCATCATCATCATAAAAAAAAATTATTACTTTCTTCTCTTCTTTTTTTATCCTCTACCATTTATATCACACATTTACGTTCTATCTAATCTACCTCCCATTCTCTTTGTTTAATTTTCACCTCATATGGCAATCTTTATCAAAAATGGAAGATACTACTTTTTCCTCCTTTTTTTTTCTCCTCTACCATCTATATTACATATTTACATTTTATCTAATTTATCTCATATTATATTTGTTTAATTTTCATCTTACATGACAATTTTTGTAGAAATACAATGTACAACTTTTTTTCACCTTTTTTTTTACTATTTTCAATTCACCACACATAATATGAGATTTGATACACAATGTTACAGAAGAGGAAGAATCACAAATTAGATACTTTGAAATTGTGGATCACCACTTGCATTTTCATTGTCAATGACTTAATATGATTTATTTATTTATTTTATTTTTATTAGAAATTGAAAGTAGCAATGATATATTATCTACATAGCACTTTCTATAATATTATTTTTATTGTCCTTCTATATAAGTCATTCAATTTTTTGTGAATTTTTTTTTATTTTTCTTCTATTTTCTTCTCACATCTCTCACTTTTTTTTTTCTCTTCAAGGAATAAGATATTTTCAATTTCTTAACTAAATAAATCAACTTGGTTTTATTTTTCTTCCATATTATTATCAATGAATATTAATAATTGTGATAAAGTATATAATATAGTCACAATTTGTATTGAGTAACAAATAAAACAAAATATGAAAAAAATATAATTATTATTAATTATGAGTAACATAAAAATATTTTTTTTGTCGTCAAAACTATAATGTATGATGATTTAAAATCACGTTATATATAAATTAATGATTTTATTGATTAATAGATTAAATTTTTAACATTTTCAGTTACAAACAATTTAATATTAATTATAAATAACAAAACAATATTAATTAATATTAATTGCAGATTAAAATATTCGATCATTATTTTACTATTTAAAAAATATTATTTGATTAAATGATCCATTTAAAAAATAAAAAATATATTATAATAATTAATATTAATATTAAAGTTAATTATAAATTATCATTAAAAAATTTACTTTTTTCGAAGCCTAATAATTATAAAATAAAATACTATAATATTGTTATAATTAATATAGAGTAACTGATAATTTTAAATTATTATTGATTGATATTTATGTTCATTAGTAATATTACAAAATAATATTTTAATATATTACAAAATAATACGATAATTTCGAACAATATTTTGGTTAAAATTATAATACATTGCTTTTGCTTAATTTATACGATATTTTTTTCTTCTCATTTTATCCATTTCATTTCGATTTTTGGTGTAGCTCTACCTTTTTAATAAATATTAAAAAAATGTGTGGCATATAGTAATCTATTATTTCACTGAAATAGTTAAACAAAATATTTTAAAAAATTAAATAAAATTGCATTAAAATATTTTGCATATGTGGCTAAAATATAATAACATATAATACATCTTTGAATTTGATTTACAAATGATAAAAAAAAAATTGCAATGCATAATGATGATTGACAAAGACATAATATATATATATATATATATATATATATATAGTTTTAATAATAATAAATGTAAAATCACACAACATATAAAATATTAGAGAAAAAAATTGTGTTAAATCAACTCATTTATTCAAGCATGATTTTTTTATTTTTAACATTTTATTGTGTTAAATTTTTCTTAGTCTGAATTACATAAATATAGATATATTTATAAATAAATTCACATCAAGAAAAAAGAGCAATGAACTTTCTTTTTCTTTCTAATTAAGATCATACCACAAACTACTAAAAGTGGGTGTTAAAAAATTTATCATGGAGCTTATCCATTTTCTGTCATAAATAAATCAAAATAACTAATTTTAGTATTATTTTTTTACTCTAACTAGTAAACATAGATTTATTATTTTTCTTACTCATTTAATCTTATTATTTTTATTATATTTTTAAATTTTAGTATTAATGCATAAATGTTTTAATATTTATTTTAAAATAAAATTTAAAGAAATTAATGATAAATTATTTATATAAATTTTATAAATATAAATACCAAAAGTATTTGTAATAATATTTTTTCTTTACAAACAATAATAAATCTATTTATTGTAAAAAAGCAAATAAAAAATTTATATTACATGAGCAAGAAAATAATAAATTTTCCAATAGAAATAATTTGTTATGTGTAGTTTCTAGAAAAGTTTGGTATCTTTGGATCAAGTGAGTCAGTCATCGATCCAGAGGTTCCCCGATGCCCCCTCTGCAGCTCCTCCCCGCATTCTCCAAACCCCTAACCCCTCCCTCCGCCCTCCTCCAGTGGAACCGCAAGCCCCAGCTCTCGGGGCCCACCCCGCGCGTCGCGGTCATCACCTCGGGCAAGGGCGGGGTCGGCAAGACCACCACCACCGCCAACATCGGCCTCTCCCTGGCGCGCCTCGGCTTCTCCGTGGTGGCCATCGACGCCGACGTCGGCCTCCGCAACCTGGACCTCCTCCTGGGCCTGGAGAATCGCGTCAACTACACCGCCCTGGAGGTCCTCAACGGCGACTGCCGCCTCGACCAGGCCCTGGTGCGCGACAAGCGGTGGTCCCACTTCGAACTCCTCTGCATCTCGAAGCCCCGGTCGAAGCTCCCCCTGGGCTTCGGCTCCAAAGCCCTCACCTGGCTCGTCGACGCCCTCAAGACCCGCACCTCCTCCCCCCCGCCGGAGTTCATCCTCATCGACTGCCCCGCCGGCATCGACGCCGGCTTCATCACCGCCATTGCCCCCGCGAACGAGGCCCTCCTCATCACCACCCCCGACATCACGAGCCTCCGCGACGCCGACCGGGTGACGGGCCTCCTGGAGTGCGACGGCATCAGGGACATCAAGATGATTGTGAACCGCGTCCGCACTGACATGATCAAAGGAGAGGACATGATGTCGGTGTTGGATGTTCAGGAGATGCTGGGCTTGCCCTTGCTTGGGGTCATTCCCGAGGACACTGAGGTTATCAGGAGCACCAATCGTGGTTACCCTCTTGTTCTCAACAAGCCTCCTACCTTGGCCGGCTTGGCCTTCGAACAGGCTGCCTGGAGGCTTGTCGAGCAGGATACCATGCAGGCTGTCGTCGTCGAGGAGCAGCCCAAACGAGGTTTTTTCTCCTTTTTTGGTGGCTAGCTTCATTTCCAACCCTTCTCTTTCAACTGCTACTCTGTATAGTTCACGCTCTCTGCTTTTTCTTTAATTCCTTGCTTCAGTAGTGACTAGTGACTAGTGACTAGTGAGTGAATTTCTTTTGTTTTGATTTTGCTTTGAATTTATCCTGCCCATAATATTTTCATGTCCTTTGAACAAGTCATGGCAGTGCATTGAAGTCATTTTCTTATTATGCAACAAACCATTGCCCTCACCTATTTGCTATCTATCAAATTTCGGTGACGCTTCTCGCAAGAAAGAAACTGCCACCATATCCAAATATCCCAAGAGAGAATGAAAGAAGAAACCCCACTAGGCTGGAATTATTGGAGCCATTGAAGGGTGTGATGTCAGTCAATGTCAGTCAATATACTATTGAAGAATGTGATGCCAACCAATGTCAAATTAAATTCATTAATTCAATCACTTGAAATGCTTGTACTCGGAGGATTTGAAGCAGACAGGAAATCACAATCTACAGGACTTCGTGCCTATGTGAATCTCTAATGGACAATTCCATTGGTGGTGGAGCTACAGAGTACAGAAGCAAATTCAACGTGATCTAAGCACCGAGTGAAACGTAAACAACTAAGAAAAACTTTCACTTGTTTTTTTGAAGCCAATCAAGGATACCCTTTTCTGTATCTGAAAGTTGCCCATCCTCCTTTCTCTTCAGCATTCCTTCCATCAACTCAAAGTAATCCTTGTAGTTACGCTTGTAGTAACTCTCCAGCCTCTGCTACACAACGTGATCATATTAAATACATCATAAACGCACATCTTATGCTCATTCATGCAGACACTAATTAATGACAAATGTTTAGTGGGGTTGACTAGAAAAATTAATCTTTAGTTGGCAAAATATCGGTTAATTTAGTGACTCAATACAGTTTCATATTAAAATGTTGTTGCATCATACATCATATATTCACAGCTAGTAATTTGTTTACCTCTTTGTCGTTTTTCTCCTTGTTTTCCTCTGATTTCTTCTGATATTCTGATAGCAATTTCATTACAATGTGTTCCTTAATGTTAGTAAGAATACTACAATTTGTTATTACTCGAGACAAAAAAAGAAGTGAGGAGAGGGATGTGTACTTTTAAGAAGTTGAGTCCTAGAATCAGGTACTTGGGTGGTGGCGATTGCAGCGGATAAGAGAAGTCCTCTTCTGGTGGTTAAGGTTGTTGGTGTGGTTTTGTTTGGTGCTTATCCTTGAACTGCTTGCAAATTAGATGAAGCATACTTGTTACTGTAACGGTGAGTGCCATCAATATGCTTTGCCCTATTGAACTCATTCGATACTTTTCATCTATCTCTTCTTTCTATCTTGTTTAGCCACCACAACCAAGAGTATCCCCAATGGATGAGATGAGGCAGAACATAACATGTGGACTACCTCTGTAGAGACTAAATAAATTATTTTACATGATGTTCTTTTTTGTAAAATTCTTTTTGGTTAAAAGTGAATTTTGATTAAAATAATGATGTTTTAATATATTGATAATTTTTTAGTTGTGGAAATGCTGATAAAGACATGTTAATACCATTAAAGAAATATTATAATATTAAATCATGAAGATATTTTTAACTGGTTTCTTTTGGTTCAAAAACAAGAAGATATCACTTTTATCAAAACTTGGTTTTGGTTGCGGAAATAATTAGTATAATTTTAACAATTACGTTGGGGTTGCCTATGATGTAGATTGTAGATACGTTTGTGCATCGCAATGATATTCTAATGAATATTAATGTTTTTCTAATAAAAGCTGGTTTAACATTGTCTATTTTAAATTTCCTAGAATACGATTTAAAAAAAATATTTTTGTTTGGGTAATAATAATATTTTAAAAGTAGGTTAATTTTCTACTACACATACATACATCATGTTTTTTTATAGGAAAAATTTTACCATACAATAATAATATAAAAAAATTTATATTCGGAGAAAAGCTTAACTGAGTATTATAAAACATAATTTTAATTTTCTTAAGTATAAAATGTTGACAACAAATTTTCAATATAATATCACGTGCTTACATAATTTTTACTTCAAACATTTTAAATCTTTTGGCTTATAAGGTAGTAACTTTTATACACGTTGATATATTGAACTGTAGTTTATAAACATCTTATAGTTACGTTGATATTCTAATAAAAATTAATCTTCCAAATTAAACAAACCTCATCCAATATGTAAAACTTGTGCTTAGGGATTTGCAAAATTTTAAAGTTTGCTTTACTTATTTTTTTTCACTAACTGTAGATATAAAATTGCTCTGAAATCATATTAAATTATTATCATAATTCTTAATTCATAAAGTAATTATTGTCTAATATATAAAATTTCAAAATAATAGTAAAAAAACTCTTATCTAATGGTAGTAATTTATGTATTTAGACCCCCAACTAATACATTTCGAGCAGTACTAATCGCAAGTAATCATTTTGATCCAAACATGTGGTACACATGGACTTTGTGCATGCCATAAAACAGAAGCATTGCCAAGCTTCCATACTATATCAATCAAATATTGTCCACATGATGTTGTGCGACATGAACAAAGTAGTTGGGGTTGAATGATCATGGGGAAAAAAATTGTACACCCCAAAATGCTAAACTATGCTGAAAAATAGAAGAAAAAAATTGCAGAAAAAAGCAACAGATTAATAAATATATGATACGATAAGAAGAGAGAGATAGAAAGAAATGTGGAATGTCAAACAAATTTGAAATGGTTGAGTGTTCAAATACCATTAACCATATATGTATATACCAGAAACAAATGGTTACTGTAGTTGTCTTGTAAAAGAAATTCTAGCTGGCACGTACATAGAAAATAAACTTTGAATTGAAATTACATATGCATTGGGGGAACTAGTCCACCAAGCCTTGGTGCTTGAACCAAGTAATGGCAACGAAATAGATGAAAATGCAAGCAGCAGTGCCTCCAAAACAAGTGGCGAGGAATTGTGGCATCCCAGTATCAAATAGGTCAATATGAATATTGATGCTAAATATAGCAGTCACACAAATAAAGGCACTCAAAAGCACCTTTGATGTGCTAAACTTCACTCCTATTTGCAGCAGCCGATTTTGTTTCTCATCCAACGCAATGTTTATGTAGTCTTCTGTGTCATCCACGTACTCTCTCAGCTTCAAACACACCAAATAAGTAAATCATGTCACAAACTACTCTAGAACAAATTGCTTGTCTTATGAACCCTCCTCCTAATTAAATATATATTTGGTGACTCTTCAAAACCTTCAGATAAGTTTTAATTAGGCTAATGATATATAAAATGGCATACCCTAGATAGTTTGTTCAATGTGCCACCGATTTGCACAAAGTATGCTCCCAAGAGCATCTCAAGCTCCTCCACATCAAAAGTGTTCTTGGTTTCAGCACTCTCGTCGGTGCCAGCATTTTGATCATCTTCATCATCACTAGCAGAATCTCCACCCCGTTCCAATGATATTTCAGGAGGAATCCTAATAAAATATTAAAGGGATTTAAAGCATACAGTTGTTATTAAGAACCACGAGCATGATCAAATTCATAAACTATAAAATCTCGTGCCTGTCATTTATATCTGGATGAAGAACTTCATATTCCATGTCATTCATGGACAAGGTGGTGGAGTTTTCAAGCTGCTGTTGAACTAACTTCTCTGTCAAATACAGTTCAGCCATATCTTCATTGTTATCTAGCCAGTGCTCTAATTCATCCCTTATCTGAAAATATCAATAACAAATTAACTTAATTTGAATACACCTATAGCGTAAATGTTTTTATACTATATTCAAATTTAAATTGACATATTTTCAGAATAATTTTTAATTGATTGAGGCTGTAAAAATATTTAGACCGGGAAAGCATCAAATTTGAACTCATTACAAATTAAGAAGTGATATCCCACATGACATGCCCTAACAAAATGCAGAAGAATTAAGTTTGTCCAATTTCAAAAAACAGTACTCACCCTTCGAACACGAGCAGCTAAGGCAACTAAGCGACTCTTAACAAGACGAATGCCTTCCAAATTGAGAGTACTGATCTTTGATGTTAGTTTATCTAAGGCGGGATAAGTCTCCTGCTCCAATATCTCTGCCTGCAAAACGATCACAAAATAAAACAGATTAATTATAAATAATCAACAAGTCAAGAAAAACAATTAAACATTCGGTTTATTTAGATAAATTTCTCCATAAACACTTTTAAGGGGTAAAAATAAAATAAGTTTCTCTATAAACTAATTTGTAGAAAATTTGATTTTTTTTTCTTTTTCTAGAAGTGCTAAAGTTTATCCACCCATAGAGCAAGAATATATATACACACCTCATTTTCTAAGGCAGTACAAGCAGCCTCAAGGCATGCCTCTAGTGTCAAAAACTCAAATGGGAGAATCTTCATGTCATCCAATTGCTTTGTTTCATCTCGATCCTCCTATATATATATAGATTTGATAGTAAACAAGAACTTTAAACATCATGTGATGTCTATAAAAGCAAAGAAGGTGGAGAAAAACCTGAGGTTGTTGTTGAGTGGCACGGTGGTGAGTGAGAATCCTTTGGTGAAGGTGTTGAACAAAAGGGACAACAGAGTGGTCAGTGGAATTGAGCAAGAGAACTTCATGAGCAGTGATGATGGCTTTGATGTGTTCCAAGTTGATGAGCATGGCTCTGTCACGCCCCACAATGGTTGAAGGGTATGACAACAAAGGGTCCAAAACTCGTAGGTCCCTAGTAGACACACCCGTTCGCCGCATGATAATTTGCTTACTTGCCTCCACCACCTTTCTCTTCCCCTCTCCGTCCAACACCAACCATGTTCTTGCCGCACTTCCCTTCCTCCGAAGCATCATAAAGATATTATATTTCTGCTGTATTTTTTCCTTTCTTCTTATCACTGTTATGCAGAATGTAGAGCAAGGTGTACGTAATCAGATTTGCAACTGGCTTTTGCGTTATTCTTTAATAAAAATAAAATTTCATTTGGTAACATGCTTAGCTTAGTATCACCCAATATTATTTAACAGGTGTATTAGATTGAGATTTCACAATAATAAAAAAAGTTTTGTGAATTTTAAAGAGATTTTTTGTAAGAATTTAATAACTTTTAAGATTTTTTTTAAAAGATTTTGTAGGAATATAATAACTTTTAAAAAAAATTAGGATTTTTTTCATCAAGATTTTGTAATATAGATTTTAATGGATTTGTATCTTAAGAATTTTTAAGATTTGAAATGATTTTATTAGATTTTAAATGACAATATAAATTTTTTAAAAACGATACAATTAATTAAATAAATAAAATAAATGACAAGGTTTATTATAGGTTTATATCCTTTTAAGTAACATTTTTTTACATATAACCTTTTATGCATTTATATTTTCTCTTCATATTATTAAATTTGAACAATTTGTTCAAATTTATGATATTTGTTAATTGGTAGAATTCTCAAAATATATTTGTAATATATGTTTAAAAATTTGATATTTCAATATTAAATTTTATCGAAAATAAAATTTTGTTAAATTTTAATAATTTAAAAATTGAAAATATATAATATATAACAATTTAAAAATAATTTTAAATGTTTAATAATTAGAAGAAAAAAATATTGATAAATTATATATCAATATTGATAGATAAAAATGTAAGAAAATATTAATAAATAAATAAAAATGACAAAAGAAAAAAATAGAGAGAAGAATAAATAAAAGAAAGAGATGAACAAAAAGTGAAAAAGAATATGAGATAAAAAAGACATATGAAGCAAGGAAAAAAAATGGGACTCAAAAGAGGGAGAGGAAGAAAAAGAGAGAGAAGAGAATATAAAAGAGAGAACCATAGAAAAACAAAAGGATAGAGAAGTAGAAAAACAAATGAGAAAAAAAAATCATTTGAAATCTCAATAGTTCTAGTAAGATTGTTGAATGAGTGAATTATATGTAAATTTTATTAAAAAGTCAAACAAAATTTATTTATTAAAATAATTTATTGAAATCTCTATGTTTTTTTATATTAATAGAAATTTTTTAAGTAAAAAAAATCTTAATTAAATATCACTAAATTTTAATGTACTATTAAAAAAATATTAATTATCTTAATTGAATATAAATTTTGATATTTAAAAAAAATCCTAATTATCTTAATTAAATATTATACAAAATTTTATATTAAAAAAATCTTGATTAAATACCAATTTTTTTTTTATAATAAAAAAGTCTTTTAAAATTTTGATTGAATACACTTTTGGATATTTACTTCAATTATTGGGATAAAGTTTTAATTTTGATAGAAAAATAATATAAAGAAACACTTATAAATTAGGAAAATATTACCGAGTACTCTTAAGATATTAGTTAAATAATAAAAAGTGAAAAAAAAAACAAAATCATCGAGAAGTTTAATAATGTAATTTCCCACTTTTGATAATTAATTGGATGAATTTATGAGTATTATATTTATAAAATTTTGTAGATTCACTAATTTTCCATTTTTTTAATAAAACATTTCCCTAATTCATTGCAATTAGTTTTGAACTGGTTTATCAAACTAGTGGTTATTACATTTAACTATACTATTTTCAGTTTTTATCTATTGATTGTGAAAGTTAATGTATAGATTAAAAATATAATTAGTATTTCTAATTATGTTAAAATCATTTTTTATTTTGTAATACAGCCTCGATTATTATTTGTTTCCTTTACTCTCTTTTTTTAATGGTGGCATTAATGATTAAATCTAAGTTCTCATTTCTTTATTAAGTCCACTCTAGTGGTTATTTATTTATTTATTCTTTTTTTACATGTATACCTTAAAAGAAAAATGTTATTATTTATTTCTGTTTAAAAATTGAAGACAACATTTAATATTACCTTTTTAACTATATTTTTATCTCTACTTAATTTTAAGTAATTCAGGTTTAAATACTCTTTTGAGATCAACTTTACGTTTAATCCTTATAATTAAAAATGGAACATTTTAGTTATATACACATCATTTTTGTTTCTTTAATTCCTACAATTTCATAAATTTTATCTCTTGGTCTACATAAAAATTAATAATAAGCAAAACTAGTATATGTGAAAATTAAAATGGAAAGTTTCCAAATACCAGACTCACATCTTATCTCGTTTTACAAGGGCAAATGAGCTGATCTAATAAAGAAATTAAAAATAAGCAAAAGATAAAAATCTCCAAATTTAACTGAAAATTTGTCATTTTGGAGAGCGGGAAAAGAAAAGCAAATAACGTATTTGTGACGAGCAGCGTAATCTATATTTTTAAAATTCACGTTTTATCGATTACATAAAATATATTTTAGGAAGGACGAATTGCATATTTACCCAATGTATCTTTGAGTTATTCTCCTGCCACTCTTGGATTTATCAATTGATAGGAACAGGGAATACTCTCAATTAGTGAAGCCAAAAGATATGTTACCTCAGTTACTTAGGGCATCTCCAATGGAAGCAACTCACTTGAGTTGCTTCATGCATTGGAAATTGAAAAAAGTAGTCTTTAGTGTGCCATGTCAGCATTAAGCAACTCAAACAGAAATTCACTCCAATGGTAAGAAACTTTAAGAAATTCAGCTTTTAAATTTTTTTTTCAAATCATTTATGAACCAATTGAAATTTTTATTAAAAAGAACAATTGCACTACAATAAAAGAAAATGAATTATGAGAAAAAATACACAATAAATAGATATTAAAAATAAAATAAAGCAATAATAAATACATAAACATTATATGAAATTAATTTCCATCATTATTATTTCCGAAACGTTCCCAAATATGTTCAATAAGATCTGCTTGAAGTTGGCGGTGTATTCGTTTGTCATGAACATCTGCTCTCCTTTGAAGGTATGTTGTTCTAAAATTGGGATGAGCACCTATAGATATTTTAGATCTTGACATGTCATCATCTACACCATCATAATCAATATAATTTTGATAGGTGTCTCGCTCGTCCTCGACAATCATGTTATGCAATATGATACATGCATAAATTATATTTTTCATTATGTCGGCATCCCAAAAACGTGCCGGACCTCGTATGATTGCGAATCGAGATTGAAGCACTCCAAATGCACGTCCTACATCCTTTCTCGTTGATTCTTGTCGTTGGGCAAATAATTTCCTTTTTTCCCCCTGTGGCATGGAGATGGTCTTGACAAATGTAGCAAAGTCTGGATATATGCCATCTGCTAGATAGTAACCCATATTATATTGGGTTCTATTCACGGTGTATTGCACTGTCGGAGCAGTCCCTAAAAGAACTTCGTTAAAAACATTAGATGCATTTAACACAGTAATATCATTATTCGAACCTGCAGTTCCAAAAAATGCATGCCAAATCCACAAGTCTTGTGATGCAACAGCTTCAAGAATGATTGTTGGGTTGGCATGATCACCTCGACAAAATTGACCTTTCCACGCAACTGGACAATTCTTCCATTCCCAATGCATACAGTCAATTGAACCGAGCATTCCAGGAAACCCACGTGCCTCTCCCATCCGTAGTAGTCGTTGAATGTCTTCGTTATTAGGGCGTCTCAGATACTCACCCCTAAATATTTCACAAATTCCTTTCACGAATCTTTGTAAGCATTCCACTGCAGTGGTTTCACCAATTCTAATATACTCGTCCACAAAGTCAGCAGGTGTCCCATAAGCCAACATACGAAGAGCAGCTGTGCACTTTTGCAACGGTGATAGGCCCCTTTTACGTGTTGCATCGAGCCTCATTCGAAAGTACTCATCATGATTGCTTATGGCATCTACAACTCGGAGAAACACATGTCGTCGCATGCGAAATCGCCTTCGAAACTGAGTTTCTGTGTATACTGGATTTTCAGATCCGATCTTGTGACTGGTGAGTGCATTTAGTTTGAATTTTTTGTATTTTTTTGTTTCACACTGAATTGTATGTTTCCCTTCTCCAAGAACCAGGTTGATTGATGCATACTCTTGAGTCTTGTCCACTTTTATACTCTTTACTTTTTTTTTTTTCAGGAAGGAGGTTTTGATTTAGATATGACATATATCACTGAAAACATTATTGCAATGGGATTCCCTGCTGGTGACTTGAGCTCTGGGTTTTTCAGTTATGTTGAAGTGAGTTAATGAATTTTGTATGTTGTTTTTCTTGGTTGATGTCTTGATCTTAAACACCAGCTTTCTGAGTATCTATATGTGTCATACAGGGATTTTACAGAAATCATATGGAAGAAGTGATCAAGTTTTTTGAAACTCACCATAAGGTAGTACACACACTCTGGCACATGAAGTTTCAAGTTCTTATGTTTATGCCTTTTCTGTAGCTTACTTATAATACAAAATCAATGCTGTATTGTATGGAATGTTGTTTTTGTTTCATTTAAAAAAGTCTATACTACAAAATATCTGCCTATGATCATGCAATCCCCCCCCCCTGCTAAAAATGGAATTTAGTTCATGTAAAGTCTGAAGTAAGGTGGTTGGGCTCAATAGTTGAGCTTTTAATTAATTTGTAGTTTATTATACATGTGCATGTATTTTACTACAATCTCAACTGTAAATTAATGGTTATAAATAACTGCATGCTGTCCTCTATGATGCACTCTTTCACTTTAGAAGGGCCAAATCTTGCTAGGCATATTCTGTTAGTAACCAGAATATAATAGATGAACCTAGAGGACTGATGGTGGACCTGTTGTCTCATGGTCGAAGTTGAAAGTTATACGCAAGAAGGCACCATAAAGTGATTCAGAAGGCAGGGCCAAATGGAAGTTTGTCAGCAAGTAGCATCTAGGTGTAGTGGATTGGGAATGATTGTTTAGGGGAGGTTAGTTAAAGGAGAGAGGTGCAGATGATTATTCTCTTGTTTGGTTGTAAGCTGAGTGCAGAGGTCTCTGTAGGAGCTTTGCTCTGGGAAAATATTAGTGTCATCTTTTATATTTCTGTTCTTTTCTTCTTCTGTGACCCCTTTTGAAGCTTACTTTAATGCTTTGTTTGTCAGCAGAGAAGAGAATGGTGGGGAAGAAAATCATGAGAAAGAAAAAGATAAGAAAATACATTTGCTTCTCTTCACCTTTTCTTTTCCCTTTCCTTTTCTTCCAAAATGCATGTTCTACACCGTCGCTGCCACTGCCGCCGCCGCCACTGCCGTCGTCGCCACTACGCTGGTCCAGCCACAACGTTCACTGGCGCGCTTCCGCTGACCACCCACGACAGAACGTTCACCTCCGTTGTCCACGACGCGCCTCCGATGAGCGGCGTCTCGGAGCGGCACCGGACGGAGGCCTAAGAGGAGCTCGCTCTGATTTTCCGGCAGCCATGTCCGAGAACGCAGGAGAACCGCGCGAGGCTAGTGGAGTGCGCGCTTCTTGCTCGTTTCGCTCAAGCAACCGTTGCTTGAGTAAGAAATCCTCTCTCCTCTGCAAGAAACTTTGGGTGCCAGCTCAGCCTTCTCCAATGGTAAGAAACTCATCTTAGAGTTGCTTGATGAGCTAAGAAACTCCCGTTGGAGTTGCTCTTAAGATTCTTTTAACTAAATTATACAATTTAAAAAATTAATTAATTAAATTAAGAGTATTAAATTTTTTAATAATTAGAAAAAATTAAATTAACCTTCTCTCTTTTTACTTGATTATTTCTTATATAATGAATAAATTTTTAAGAGAGATGTGTCTATTTATTTTCTTCAACCCTAATAAGAAAAAAATATTTTATCCAATTAATTTCAAATATAATTTGCCAAAAAACTGTTAATTAAATAAAGATATTTTAAAAAAAATGTCTTCTATATAGGAACAGACACAGGCAGTACAGGCAGTACATAACCAATAATGTTTTACTTTGGATACAGTAAATCATATTCCCTTCATCACTAAATCACCAAATAATAAATATAAGAATTGTTTAATTAATTCACACTCCGTTAAGAAAGTGACTAGTAATCCAATTTAATCTTACAAAATTGTGTTATGATGTGAGAATTATTTCCTACTAATTGTTAAGTCTCAATTACACTTCTTTTTGGACAAGACTTCTTGAACAATTTCATTCATCCTTTGCACCATTGCAAGATAATTGTTCTCTTTTTGATTCATTTTTTGTGCAGATATAGCTAACCCAGAATTTAGCTAATAATAACCTAATACACCTCTTTTTTGTGCAGGTATTGAGCTAGAGAATTAAGGATAGAAGATCTATAGGATTGGAAATCTAAGGAGCTAAGGAGCAGAGAAGAGTGACTGCGCCAGGCACAATATTACCCGTGCCGGGCTTGTGCAAAACAGTGTCTCACCTCTGCAAGTCATAGCTGCGCTGGGCGCGAGACTACCCTCGCCAAGCGTGATCGAGACAGAGAGTACCTCAAACTCTCTGGAAGGCATTGCACCGGGCGTAAAAGGAATTGTGCCGGGCGTGTTCTGAGATAGAGAGTACTTGACCTTCCTGGAAGGCCCTACACTGGGCGCAAAGACTTATGCGCCGGGCGTGTAACCCTAATCTGACTCCCCAAGCTCGTATTTGAAGAAACTTTCGAGAGTTTTCTCCTCATTCACACATTGGACGCGTTTTAGGAGCTGAGGAAGGGATTCCCGGAGCTTGGAGCCGTTTATGTGTGGATCTTTCCTTCGATTCTTCATTCTCTCTTCATCTCTATTTTTTGTTTACCCTCATTATTTTGGGTGGTTCTACCTATTATTTTGTGGGGTTAGATGTAACCAACGTACTCTATTGTAATCCTTACGTTTTCAATGATATATATACATGTTATTTCAATCATTGTTGTGTATGTTTCTATTCTTAATGCTTGCTTTGGATTGATACTCCTTTGCATGATATAGGTTCCATTAGGTGTTGAAAAATAACCATTGAAACTAGCTCTGAAACAAATGTCTAGTGGGAAATGTATCTAAGAATGGAGCTTGGCCCATTAGTAGTCTTAAACCCTAGCCTGTAATGCGGGTGTAGGTATTGGATACTCAAGGAATTGATATTCAATATCCGCACCTAGGCTCTTGCTCTAAGGGATTAAGTTTGAGTAAACTTATGGGTTGACTAAGCAATGCATGTAACAAGAGATTAAAGATTCATTAGTGTGACGTTTGGTGATATCTGACCCCACAATTTCACAAAGATCATAATATCATTTCTACCCTTTTTCACTCACAACCAAATATTTTTATAGTTTAACATTCCAGTAATCATACTCTTCAATTCACATTTGCATGACAAACTACAAAATTGAAATTATTCTTTAGTCACGAATAGTCAATAAATGCTTATTTTACCTACTAATCCATGTGAATACGATAATTTTACTACTTGAACGACCGGTATACTTGTGTTTGAGATCATTGATAGAACAAAAGTGATTTAAAATGATAACAAAAATAGTTCAACGGAAAATTTCAACACTAATATAAATTAAATTGAAATAGATTATGAACCTAATCATACAAAATCGTTTTATAAGATAAAATTATCTTCTAACTTATTACACCATCAAAAAAAGGTTATTTTAATTTGTAGGTCAAACTCGTTACCAGGAGACTTTACAACAACTCATGCACTCTACTCAATCAGCTAAGTTAAATTTCTTGATAAAAAAAAAAGCTAGTTTAGTTTGAAACTACAACTTAATTAATATTTTATATTATTTGTCTAAACTTAACATTATTGAAACTCATTATTCAATCTTTCTACTTGATTACTTTTCACCTATTTAATTAAAATGTGCAAGTCAACTTCTTCAATTAATGTATAACATTTACCGTAAAAGTACTACATCCGGTTTCAAAAAATAAGCAAAGAATAAATAATAGTTTACAGTAAATAAAAAATTAACATCATTTAATTTCATTAATCCATTTAAAAGAAATTATTTTTCTAAACCACTCCTTCCTTTAAACTTAATATTAATAAAAAATATTATAAATACAATCTCAATGAAATGAATAAATACTTTGGAGATAATAACATTAAATAGAATAACATTAGTAGAAACTTACTTATATTTGAGATCAACAAAAAACATGACCCTTTTTTATTATATTCGAAACCAGAAGAATAATTAAGGATATTTTGGTTAAAAAAATTAATTAATGCAAAAGACAATTTCAAAAATATCTTATAAAAAGGACGATTTTTTTTTTAAAAGTGTCATAGATATAGGAAGGAAATAAGGAGTACCTCAGACAAATAAAACAAAAAATATTTACTACGTATTTTGTTTCTGAAACATAAGCATGCCTGACCTACCTACAGCGGGGAATCAACTGAAGTTTGCTGCTTGTCAGACCATAACATGACAGTTGCCAAAAGCGCTATCGTGGCAGTTTCAACCCGAAGACGATGAGGTCCAAGACTAACAGTTGTAGCACCTGCTTCCATCATCATACTCACTTCTTTCTCAGTGAAATCTGGAGAACTCCATGGAAACATATAGCAATTATTTGGCACCCACACAAGGTTAACACGTTTTCATTTTAACTTGGAGGGAAAATTTGGAGAGAAGTTTCTCATGATAAAAATATCATGTTACCTTTATTATCTTATTTAATGTGATACATGATTAAAGTTTACGGGAAAGTTGTATTAAAACTAAATGTAAAAAATTTTGATTCCCAAAAAAAAAATTTTAGAAAATTTATGACTAGTTAAACAAATTTTAATTATTTCTAATAATTATGATCCTTGAGCATGAAATTTTTTTCCTATTACCAACCGCACCCTCAGTGAAATGAAATGGTGAAACTGAACTTCAATAGACATATACTAACCGCCTTCTGGTCCAATTATGATTAAGCCACTAGTTTCCTTTTCCAATGACGTCAATGCACTAAGAACAGGAATTGCCTTTGCGGTTGCGAGAAGAGATAGCTTTGACTGTGCAATCTAAGGGGCAGAAAATAGACCAAGTTAATTAATGTCATTATGTAGCCATGTATATAAACTGAATTGCTAACACTGACATCAAATCCGTTGTTTAACTCTGAAGAGTTTCCAGGAAAGAAAAAGGAAAGCAAGCATATAGAATAATAGATCAGTATAGACATCTAGAATTACAAACATATCAATGATTAATAAGATGGAGGTTAACACAATTAACTGGTTAAAATTCTTCTTAAATAACCCAATTTTCTGACTGAGTAGTAAAAAATGAACTCACAAGGTGCGAAAGGTCATCAACCTCTATAGGATGTTTCAGGACCATTTCATGAAGTCGTTGACCTGCAAAAGAGGCAACAACGCCAAGCTTCACTGACCGAAAGCAAAATAGGTCACCGTTTTAGACCCAAGTTTGAAATTTACTTCAGTCTGAATAGCCCAAACAAAATTTTAATGGGAGTAATAAAAATGTTTAACCTCAAATGCAAGTAAAAATATAGTTACATTGTTTAGATGCAGCTAAAATGACACGTTCCAATCTGTCCACCCGATTTTCTGAGATTGTTGGAGAACGTTCAGTCAATAGAGGAGTTACACTATTGGCTCCAAGTTCCTATCGCATTTCAACATGAATAAAAGATATACCATAACACATAGAAACTGTATGTTTAACCAGATAAAATCTCAATAAGGCATTGAAACATACTGTGCACTTCTCTACAAGCCAGTCAGCACGGCCACCCTTTAGAGTACCTAGACAGATATGGTTCTTAATGAGTGAAAAATTGGGTGGAAAAACTCGAGTGTTCAAAACATGCAACAGTTAATAAGTAGTCTTAGTTTGACAGAAAACTGCAAGAACTTACCAAAACCAGCAAATACGTGCAATTGTGTATTTTGTGGAGGCATTGATATCAAATCACTCAATGCAACAAAATCAAGCCCAGTGCGGTCAATGTTCTGTATGCATCCTTCTACAAGACCTCCTTTCCCATTGAAGAGCTGTACCCTTAAACAGCATGATTAGGATCATCAACAAATCTTAAGATCCGAGCGTATGAATAATGCAATACAGAAATACCAAAACAAAGGCAAGAAAAGATGTGCAAGAATTATCTCTTCTTTTACTTTCATTGAATTAGAAACAAAGAAAAATGTGTATGAGGAAACAACCCTGGCAAAACAAAATGTTTGACAAATCATTGAAAATCAACTGTCAAAACAAAAACTCCCTCCCACCTTCCCAATTTGGTACAAAGAAATTAGTAACAGACACTATCCAGTACCCACACAAGACTGGTGGACACAAGATGTTCAACATTCTATTGTGACTCCCTGAATGCCTTTTGTAATTGACATCGAGAAATTTATTCATGGATAAATTTTTATGCAAACACTTATAAGAGAAGAAAATAAAAAGTATAATGAATTAAGTTCCTTTTATAAGTAAAATAAACTTATGCACTTAACTTTTGTAGAAGTTTTCTATAAAAAAAAAAACTAAGGTGCATAAGTTGATTTTAACTTAAAGAAAAAACTCAATTCATTTTTTACCTTCTTACTTATTTTTCCCTATAAGTGCTTATAGATAAATTTATTCAAGCAAAGCCTATAAAAGTTATTCAATTTGGCAAGAAAAACATCAAATTTCAAGGGCAAGACAAATGGTCACAAATGAAATTGTCCTCTCTAAATAACAAGCAACGATCGATAAGAATTACCTATCATTGGTGCTCAACCTCAATACTTTTGTCATATGCCAGAACTCATCACCTTGCACGCGTATAACACTACCCTGCATTGCTCCATGTAAAAGTAAAATAAGATAAAACCATCTTCAACCAAACCAAATAAAAGGTATGCTAACCACAATGCTTTTTAAGAAGTGAAATAATTAAATAAAGTCTTAGCAAGCCGTTAAAATGCTGAGTTTACAGGACACAAATTAAGAACTTTACATAAACCCTATCTCCATGAAGCTCTCTGCTGTGCATCAATTGCTGAGTATTAATATTGCTAGGACACGATTTTTAGAATTATGAGAGAGTTGTAACAGTAGGAAGAGAATGAATGCCTTGGAAGGAGGAAGAGTCTCGGAGTAGAAGCGGGGAAGGCCACCGCGTGATTGGTCTCCATAATCGGAGAAGGAAGAGAATGCACGCGCCGTCATGCTTCTCAGCCATGACCGATTCACCAAGCGGAAGCTTACGCCTCCTAGGGTTTGCAACATTTCCCTTCGCACCCAATTCAATTTCAATTTTGTGATTGTTCCTTTCTTCAGAAGAAACGGTTGCGTTGTGATGCATTTGCAGGAAAGGTTTATGGCGGGAAAAACCCACCATGGCCCATTGGCTAGGCCCAACTCCACAATCCACTTCAAAATCTTTTGGGCTTATGATTAGATTTGTTTCACGATGCACACAAAAGTATGCAAATTATTTTTGTACCACTTTTCTTTCTTTTACTATTACGCTGCCCATATTCATTTTTGTAAACTTTGACTCCCCCTACGACAAAGAGTCAACTATGTGTGATGGGAGAAACTTCTATTGTTAGGTTGCGGATCTAAGCCCACTAATCCACTCTAAATAAAGATTCCTTTAATTTGATCATAGTGATTCACAGTCAGCAGAGAAACACGCTACCATGTCAAAATCATGCTTCTATGCCAACTTCCCTTGTTGGTCAACAATGCACTAACTAGTCCATAATGAACTCCATGGTAAATATGTTAAAAAATAAACTCCACAAGTTTAGTACTTATTTTTTAAAATATATTTCCTATCATACAATTAACCACACAATATACCAACAAAACCTTATTGAGGATACTTAACCAAATTTTTGCATAAAGGTTAATTATTGACAAAATTGATATAATTAAAATATATATCTAATAACTATTTCTTATGATATCCTTAAATATTTATCCTCTCTTCCTAAAAAAAATATCAATTGTCATTTCGATACACATTATATCATATATATAAACCTAAGTTAAAAGTCGCATAAAATAATTTAACTTAAATTTAAACTTTGAAATAAGAGTAGTTGTAATTTTACACAATTGTGGAAGGAAGGTGAAAAAAAAAATATGATAATAAATAACAACATTTTGTCTTTTATTTTTGAGTAATCATGTGTAGTGGGATTGAAATCACAGTCACCATTAGTAGTTGTTGATCAAAACATGAACATCAACATATTTCAGTGTTTGATATGATTAAAGCCATTTCAGTCCATTTTGCAACCCCCACCTCCCACCCTCTCCTAAAAAAATTTTTGTGTTACCATTCTCAATCTCAATGATTTGTAGTACATATGACTAATTATGCACTTAATAATTTTGTAAGTCTTAATATTTATAACTTAATGTCATGATAGGGTATAGTTATTTTTGTAATTTTGGTTGGTATTAAGGAATGTGAGACATGAAATAATTATTCTTTTCTTTTCTTTTTCTTTCTTTTGTGTTTATGGGATACCACTATCATTTTGTAGCATAGTATTGATAAGACAAGACATTTCAAACTTCTTGTTTATCCAATTAACGGTATGATGATATAGGATATATTGGATTGAGATGAATTTTACATATGATCATAGCCATGAATCTATAAATATTGGATGGTTCACATTTTAGATGTATATTTTAAATTGGATTTACAAAATAAAATATAAATCTTCTAATCATCATATGATTGATTTGATTAATTGATTGTGTTAATGTTTTAATACCTACAAATCTAGATGAATAATAGTGTTTGAGGACCAAATGGATAAAGTATCATTATAATTATGATGATTGATTATGAATAAAATTGACTTGTATAACATTTTTGCAAATGTACTAGCTAAGATTATGAAGGAAATGATTAAGATATAATAAAATTATATATATATATATATGTATATATATATATGATTTGTAAATTTGCTCTATATATATATTTTTTTTAATTTAACAATTAAATTGTTGAAATTTAATATACACCGTGAGTTATTACATTAAATAATTTTATCAAGAGTTATTCTTAAATAATTTGATCTCTC